AACCTCTTCAATTGCAATCATTCGCATGATTATCTGCAACAGATATGAATTCAATGAATGCTTTATCTTCCTCGCATGTCCATTTATGAAGTTTTACTGGGAATTTCTTTGGAGGTGTCGGTTTAATCTTTGTGATAGGAAACTACAGAACAAACAGCAAAAGTGAGAGAGGCAATGTCAGTGCCAGCACCATTAGACAACAACAAAGAAACTCATGGATTTTACCAGGATTGTGGGCATGCTTCTCCAGGAAATTTGTGCACTATAGGTTTTCTGAAATGCCACTCCCAGCATTGAAAAATATCATTGGCGTACGGGTGGACAGAAATTGCCCAACATTGTCATGAGTTTATTTATAGATGAACAAGAGGTATAAAATAGAAGGAACATAACTCCTATGCAGACTTGCAGAAATTCTGTTTGAAGTCAATCTTAAAACAATTGCCCAATTTTTAAAGCAGAATCCTGCCCAACTGAACACTGACTGGAGGGTTGCAACCCCCAGCCTCGTACGCCTATGGACAGAAATTCTCACAGGCAAAAAAGCATTAAAATACAATGTTATTGTTACTATGATAATAACTTTTCCCCTTCCCCCCATTAACATCTCATTGTCTCATTAACCCATTGAGTGTCAGCACTCTCCACTTGAAGAGTAAAATCGTCTAGCGTTAGACAGAGTAAAATACTAAAGTAGGGTGCATCAGGGCACATTGCCACTTAAAGGGTTTAAAATACAATGTTATTGTACAGTCATACTGTATTTTATGTTTGTAAAAACCTTTGAACTTTTATACCTTTGGTGATGTTCCAGGACTCTGAAACAAAGTTCGACTTGATGTTGAATTCTTCAAACGTGAAATTCTGTGTCTCTTATTTAATATTAGGTTTCCCTAGGGTATATCCTTTTAATAGACGTATATACCCTCGTATATACTCGCTTTTGATATGGCAGTATCATTTCATTCGTCAACAATGACAACCTCACTACTATCTGCATGATTCCATGTCCGAATTCTATAACAAAATGACAAAAATACAGTAAACTAACATTCTGACCTTAATTTTAAAGGTAACATATACACTCAAAATATATAACAACTACATGTGTATGTTTCAAAGATTATAAAAGATATCATAGAAAATAGTTTCCTTCGCGCCATAAGGATCAATACTCGATCTATTCCCGCCATCGGCATTAAAATATAGCAAAAATACCCCCATTTTCAAACCGCTATTGCTTGTCGACTTTAGCGTTTTAAAGAACCAACAGAAAGAGCAAGTCTTCCTGAATTTGACGACGTGTTTTTTTTACTTTTCTCGTTAAAAAAGGTAGTTCGCTCCTGGTTTATTTCAAAGCCATTTTCTTGGCGTGTCAATTGACCGGAAAGAAGCATAAATACAATGCGTAATTAGCATAACTAAAAAGCAATATCTATACCAAAAAAATATAAAACTGTTCAATTAGATGTCCAAACAAAACAATTATCATCACATACCTTCGAAAAAACGAGATCTTCAGAGCCAAAAATCGCAATATATTTCAACAACTTTTTCGTTAACGATTGCCAAAAATCGTAATTGTGAATAATAATGAGACGCAATGCATTGTGGGAAGACCCTCACTCCTCCTCTGTTTTTGATGTAAATTAACTTAATGGGACAAGTATACTTGTGTAAGACATTGTGTAGCATAATTAATTAGAGGACCATGCCAGTTTTCAAAATGGTTGTTATTTAAGGCGCTGTACATGTTACACTATGCAATTTGTCTCGCAATTTTGTTGCAACGCAAGTTGCACATTCCTCTTGCAACTAGTCTCACAATGTTTATACACTGAGTGGTTTCCTATTGACTTTTGACTGACAATATGCCGGCGCCAAACGTTAGCACTAACAGTTTTTATACCATTTTTAATATTGATCATTGCAAGTTGCATGGAACATATTGCTTGGTGCAACATCCCTTGCAATGCAACCCTGAAATCGTTTTTCTTAACATTGCAAGACAAGATCCGAGACAAGTTGCTTAGTGTAACTGCGCCTTTACCCCGACTCCTATGGTGAACATATACGTAATAAACTGTGGAAACTACGATTTATATAGGAACTAAAAAAAGTGAAATATTTTGTGGGATACGATAAAGGCGAGAGATTGAAAATGAGTAGGAAAGGCAGCCCTGAATATGTTTCGACCTAACAGTCTTCTTCCGCAGGGGTTTTTTAAGGGTCGGGGTGTAGCCAGAATTTGCAGAGGAGAAGGAAGGAGAGTTTAAGAGTTTGGATAATAATGTGAAACCAAGAGAAAAACAAATTATTACGAAGTTATTGAAAATAGCCAATTACACAGCAACAAAAATGAAAGATGGAAAGATAGTGAAAAATGATATAACCACATTAGTCGGGCAGATAGAAGGAAAAAACTTACGTTATCGTGGGACAATTCCATTTTGCCTTCATATTGTGTCCTGAAGGCTAGTTAGTACATTTCTGTATGTTGGCCTCGTTGAAATTTCTTGTGGGCTCCTGCTGACACGTTTTTCTTCGAATGTTGTATTAAACTCTATTACAGTTAAAAAATGTGAAATGTCAAATACATTTCTAAAACAAAATACTTACATCATTTGAACGCTTGCAAAAAAACTACATAAAAGACATTTACACGGTTACCCGGGTTTTTCACGTTCTTTTTGAGATATGAGCTGTTGAATGCGTGTTTTCAGATTAGTACCCAAGAATTTTGCGAGATTTTGGCTTATTTGTCACGTTTGAAACGGCAATAACTTGAAAAACGGTTGAAAATCCCAACTAACCATTTAAATGTTTCATATGTAGTTTTTTGTTAGCTTTCTATTGATGCAAGTCATTTGTATTAGAAATGTATCAGAAATTTCACATTTTTAAACTGTAATAGCGTTTAATACAAAATTCGAAGAAAAACGTGTCGGCAGGAGCCCACAAGAAATTTTAACGCGGCCAACATACAGAAACGTACTTATTAGCCTTCAGGGCACAATATGAAGGCAAAATGGAATTGTCCCACGATATGGTAAGTTTTCCATAATTTTGGTTCTGTATCTGCCTGCCTACATAAACTGCTATACATGTTATTAGTTAATTTATCCTACAAAAGGTCTTGTTAGTGCAGGACATTCCAACACCACATATTTTATTGTTCATCTTCTCAGTTAATTTTGAAGTAGCGCAAATGACAGATCCTTTTAGAGGTAGTACAGTGAGAATGAATGATTGTGATAGTAAGGATGGAGTATGATTTATATTATAGTGTGATCATGTGACTGTAGATGATTGCATCCTAACATGGTGAAGTGAGCTTAAATGACAGGGATAGGAACGTTTGGCAATAATAAGTGATCCATGAGGGATAAAAATTAGTTATTACACCGTGCAGGGTATACAGTAATAACTAAAATATGTACATATATGACAAACCCAAAACAGAAAAATGCATGAATGATACGATATGGCCGTTCATTAGCTATAGTTCAGGTGTTAATGTTGCCGCCTAGAGGATCCACGTTTATCATTGTACTTATTATTTTAGTTATAAAACATGTCAAGCATGCTTGTGTTATATACACTGTTACTTGAACAAGGAATCAGTAAACCAAAAGATCCCATTTACTTTAATAAAATAATAACTGCCCTGCTTTTTTAGGTATTCTTGTTCGTTAAAATGTCATTAATTAAAAAATTTTGCTATGTTTTTTTGCACAAATTTACATGACCCTCCCCCCTTTTTCCCTTGCATGAAAATTAGTGACCCTCCCCTATTTTGCACCAGCCCTCACCCC